ATCACCAATGTGCTGCTCATAAAATTAGGATCAGACAATTACATGCTGTAAAACACTTTCTGTATGCATACTTGCTCTCAGAATGCTTATTCTTAAGTCTAGCAGTCTAAATGGAGGAGCCCTCATGGCTTGTTGATGGTTTATATAGGTATTTCATTGGAGCCCCTCAACTTGCAGACTTAAAGTACTACTAAAGAGGGACCATCTGAGCAACCCTTTTTGGTTTTGTATAGAAACACTACATTTTTCTAGCTTAAAAAAAAAAAAAAAGCAAGTATTCTGTTTCTTTGGCATGCTTACAATTTTGTCCATCTGTTAGAGTGGCACAATGCCCACTCACAATATGGTATACCAGTTTCAAACAGGCACAGGTGCCAATGAAAGATTGGTTTCATTTTCTGACACAAGATTTCTGTGGTGGGAAGCAGCGCTGGATTAGGGGAATGTGCTTTGTTAGACTGATTACTTCTGTTGGCATGTGTGTATCTCATAATAATAATTAGCACTTGTGCAGTGCTTTACATTTTCAAATCACTGTTAAAAAAAAAAATGATTGAAGGCGTTGCGGAATGCCGGCCTTTTGTATCTATTTTTCCAGCCTAGTTTACTGAGATTTCTGCAGTTGGGGTAGGGGGTGTTGTGCATATTGACCCAGGAACAAGCACAAGATAAAATGTTTCTTAATTGAAATTCTTTCTCTTTGAAGTTTAATCACTGATGAATTTTCATAATATTACAATTCTGTATATGACTGTATTGACATTTTGAGGCTGCAAAAGAAAACAAAGGAACAGAGATTATGGTTTTCAGGAGGAGATCTTGATCACAGAATCGCAGAATGGTTGAGGTTGGAAGGGACCTCTGGAGGTCACCTGAGCTACCTTCTCAAGCAGAGTCACCTAGAGACAGTTGGCCAGGACTGTGTCCAGACAGCTTTTGAATATCTGTAAGGATGGAGGCTTCATAACCTCCCTGGGCAACTGGTGCCAGTGCTTAGTCACCCTCACATTAAGAAAGGGTTTCCTGATGTTCAGAGGGAACTTCCTGTGTTTCAGTTGTGCCCATTGCCTCTGGTCGTGTCACTGGGCACCACTGAGCAGAGCCTGGCTCCATTCTCTTTGCACCCTTCCTTTTCATTGATGAGATCCTTCCTGAGCCTTCTCTTCTCCAGGCTGAACAGTCCCAGCTCTCTCAGCCTTTCCTCAAAGGAGAGATGCTCCAGTTCCTTCATCATCTTACTAGCCCTTCGTTGAATTCGCTCCAGTATGTCCATGACTCTCGTGTACTGCAAAGCCCAGAACGGGACCCAGGACTCCATGTGTGGCCTCACCAGTGCTGAGTAGAGGAGAAGGATCCTCTCCCTTTGCTTGCTGGCAATATTTTGTCTAATGCAGCCTACGACACCGTTAGACCTTTTTCCTGCAAGGGCACATTGCTGGCTTGTCTTCAACTTGGTGTCCACCAGGACCCCCAGGTGCTTTTCTGCCAAGCTGCTTTCCAGCTGATCAGCCCCCAGCATGTACTGGTGCCTGGGATTGTTCCTCACCAGGTGCATGATTTTGCAATTCTCCTTGTCAAACTCAATGAGGTTTTTTTGCTAGACCATTTCTCCAGTTTGTCAATAGAATTCTGACTTCTCCTTAATATCCTTCCTGGCCATTGCAGCCTGGCAGCACCTCTGGACTTAATCATCATATTCCTTATTCCATCATCCACATTTTTAAAATTATCTATTAGAGCCAGAAAAAGGAAGAACTCAGTCCAGAATGTATCTTTACATTTTTCACAATGAGCTAGACTCTTAGCGTAGTTTTCTAGCTGTTATTTGTACCCATTCTATAGTGATTTCATGCAGCCCGTATTTTTTCTGGTGTATTTCATACTGTCTCCAGTGCTATTCTCATGCCTTTGTGATGTCAAAGTATAGGATGCTTGCAGGTTTGCTTTCATTGACAAGGCCCTTTTTTTTTTCTGTCCAAGTCAGAAGTTATACTTAGTTTGATATAAATGGCTAAAATATGTCTTTGGTAAACAATCATATTCTTTTATGTTTTAGAGGGTCACCTAGAAAATATTTTGTCTAAGTGGGGTTTTTTCTGCATAATTTCAACCAGTCAGCTTGGTTTCTTTAGCTTACCCTAATCATATCTCTTTTCCTCTTTAAAAGTAGGCATGTAGGCATTGTTTTTGTTTTATTTCAAGCTTTTGGATTCTCATGTGTTTTTCATGATTTCTCAGAGGTAACAGTTGAGATTACTCTGTGTTGTATAGGACCTGCTGGAGTAAATGTAGTCAATCACTGTAATTTAAAACAGATTAACTTCTGTATACATTCTGTGTCTTGTAGTTCACTATTTTTGCTTTTGTTCTTGCTCCCTTTCTGCTGGTTTAGTGCTTGCCATCTGATTGCAGCTGACCTCTTTTTGAAAAACTGAAGCAAAAAGGCACAGAACACTTCTGTTTTCCTGGCATTGTCCATTTTCTTTCCCACTGACTATTGGAATAACTCCTTCCTTGCTGCTCTTCTTCTTACTAATATATCTATGGAATTGTGGGGTTTGTTATTTACATACATTGCCTTTTCTCATTTTGTGGTATGACCTTTCTGAGTTTGTTTCTATATGAGTGTGCTGCTGTTACACTTGTCCTTGATAATTTGACCTAGTTCCTTTTTTCCTATTACTTCTTACATTTTGAACCATCAAAGCACTTGTGAATCACCAGCTGGTCTCTTTATCTACTTCCCACTGTCTTCCATGTTAAGGTAGTTTGATTTGTACACTGAATACTGCTTCTCTGAGAACTGCTTAGTTGTCCTGACTTCTTTCTGCTAGTAATTTGATTCTGGAAGAAGAAATCTCTCAGCTGAAGATAGTATACTTCAGTAAACTCAGTGAAGTCCATTGGCTTTGTTCACTGTTCTCCTTTTTACACTTATTAAGAAAGACTGATTGTCATTTTGTGAACAGTCAATTACTTTGCCTTCCATCTTTATATTCTCTCAACTAGTTTATTTCTTTTTTTAAAAAATAAAACAAAACTGAATTTCGGGGATTGGCTGAACAATCTGTTATATTGCAGAGGCTGAAAAGTTGAAGAGCTCCTTCAAGGGATGTGTTTAGGACAGATTCCTTTTATTCTTAGCAATACTCTTAGAACAAATTTTGAAGCACCTTTCTCCATGAATTGCAACCCTCAGTTATTCTTCTGTATAATTGATGTGAGTTGGAGTTTCCTCATTCCTTTTTTTTTTTTTTTTTTTTTTTTTTGGTTAGTTACAATGTTGCTGTAGTTTAGTCATTATGTGTTTTGTATTTCCATGTTTTGTTTTGGCGTTGTTGAGATGTGTATGGCTTCTTTCCTTCAGAAGGCTTTCTTTTAACTTTATAACATCTGCACCTCTGATGTTAAATCTTACCTCACCTGTGAGGACATAATTTGGAGTGGAGGGAGAAGGAACAAATGCCTACTAGGTATTGCAATGATGAATCTCAAACATCTTGAATATTCACTCTGTTGAAGCTTTAAGTCTTAGGTAAAAAAGGAGTGCTAGAAGCAACTTCAAAACCTGTTATTCCACATATTTTATGAAAAATTCTGCTCTCTGTCACTGAAGCAGTAGTCTGCTTCAAAATGAGAGAGGAGGCCAATGTCAGCAGATCTTTTTCGCGCTTGTTATGGTTTGTATCTGACCCTGATAGCAACATCTGAGCTAGTATACTAGTTTCCCTTTATAATCAGTGAAGAGAAACAGCTACTTCTCTGAAAGTTGGACAACTGCATTTAATTAGGGAACTTAATCCCTAAAGGTGTCCCCTTGTCTCAGTCAGTTAGAAAGGAAGCCTGGTACACTAGCTCAGGTGTAGGTGCCTAGTTCTGGTGAAATTAATCTTAATTCTGCCATTTACACTTTCCATAGACCGTTATTGCCGTTTTGTTTAAGTATGGAGGGTTAAACCTGCATTAGCAGTAGTGAAGAACTGCTCTAGAGATCAGGCAAAGTAAGAAAGGGATTCAGTCAATGCATATAGAGTTCAACTTTGTTTTTTCACATACCAAGTCAAAGGTTGATTCTTGTGATGCCTGTAGAGCCCATGTTGCTTGAATCAAGAAACTGCTTCTGAATGAGCTGAGTGCTTCCTTCTGTTGCTTGCACCTGTGGCGTAGAGGTTGTGACAGACATGTTTTTATGTGAAGTACCCATGTACTCTGTGTGTGATAGTACCTTGGCTGAAGTAGGGCTTCTTGTTATATTAATCTCAGAAATTCCTGCTTGTAGTACCCAAAATCAGCTACATGGTGCAGTCTTTAAAGACTCTTTCTTTGACTAGAAGCTGTAGTTACTCTTGATCTCTTAACCCCAGAGTTCCTCACCCTGCTGTAAAACTGCTTCCTGAATGCAAGAACTAACTGCTTCTCTGCTCAGATGCTGAAATTTTTGAGCTCCATGGCATTCCATTGCAGTGCTAATGAAATGGCGTGAGGTACTTGCTAAATGCAGCAGCCCTGGAGAAGCAGCTCATTGTGCCTTTGTAGATTAGACTACAGTTAAAACGGTTTGTGTGTGTGACACTTTGTATGTAACTATTAGAAAGAATTTCTTGTTCTTGTGGTAGCTTGGTAGAGTGTTGCCAGTAACGATAGAGCTCTAGCTAAGGATGATAAATATGTCTAAATGTGGGAATTAACCTTTCCAGATGATGAATTGTGGAAACTATGTGAAGCTTCTGCCATTCTAATTAGTCTAGCTAAAACATCTAGCAAACAGGGAGATTTCTAATGTCTCTGAGAATAGAAAATGACTGCAATAAAGGGACAAATGCCAGCATATTGCAGGAGGTGCCCTATGCTTTTTAAGTCTGTGTATCCTGATCTTGACTGATAGAAAAAGATTATGAGATTAAATGCTGTATGTTTTTTAAATTCTAATTTTAATTTAGATTTCTAACTTTACCTTTAAATGTATAAACCTAATGTTACGGCATGCTTTATTTTGACAGATAAGGAAGGACATAATTTTTCTATATTCTGGGTGCTGGTGAGTGTTATCCTAGGTGCAGTAGCCATGCTGTGCAAAGAACAAGGAATTACAATACTGGTAAGAATCCTTTTATTGACCTCAGCATCTGTCAGGTGCAGTTGTAAAGCCTACAAAGATAAATCTTCTTCACAGCTAATCGTATGCATACCTTTTTGTTTTGTTCAGTAAACTAGTTAATGTTGACAAAAAGCAGCATTCTAGTAGATCTGTCTTGATTGTATCCCTGCCAATCTGTTAGAATTCTTAATTTTATCTTTTGTAAACAGGTTGCATATATCCATTAATTTCTTGCGAAATTTAAAAGATTTAGTGTTAGTTTCGATGCATATTGTGTTCATTGGCCTTGGTTTTGAATGTAATTGTCAAGATGGAGGCCCTACAAACTTCTCGTTGAAGGCTTATGAACAAAGACCTAACTGGAGGAGAGCATTTTTAAAAGCTCCACCCTCTTGCTTTTGTGAACAGTGTAATTAGAAGTAGGGCCATTCTTTATGCATTTCTAATACTGAATCTCTTCCTTCTGTCCCTTATTTAAGGCTCTGTCTATGCAAATAGATATAGTTACTGTGCATATTCATTGTGCTTTTGCTTTTTGTTACTTCAGTGAAGACATTCTGGTTTGGATGACTAAATTGACCACCTGAAGTGCTGCATCTGTGATTTTTGTATAGCCATATTTCTTTACAAATAAATCCGGTTTGTAGCTTTAACTGACATAGATAAAGCAACAGAATCAGAAGAATTCTTTGCAGCAAGGACCCTCTTTTCCTTGCTAGAAAAAAAGGGAGAAGAAATTACAGAAAACTTCTTGCTTTAGGATGTTATTTTTGGATAGACGTTTGTAGAGTGATGTATTTTTCAAAGGTATCTGTAAGGAAAATGTAAGGAATTCTCTTAAAACATGGTGTGATTATTTCCTTTAGTGGTATGAAGTAATTATTTGAGCTAGCAGACAGAGACTTGTTATTGGATCTGGGGTTTTTTATTTGTTTGCTGTTCCATTGCTGGGAGGATTATATGCTGAGGGGCACAGCTCAGAGGGATAAAGGGATAAATCAAACATTAAAAAGTTTGCTTGTAGGCGGAATGTATTTTTTCAG